ATGAGTATTAAGCAATTCATTTTACTTTAGAATGGATCTACCGTCAGCTTCATCTTATAGTGTGCGAGAGAAGTTGATATTGCTTGGAGTCACTGTAGAGAAAGTAAATGTCCAAATAAAAAATATATATATAAAATTTAGATGCCTATATTATGGGATTATTTATAAAGATGTAGGAATTAATAGGATAAAACAACATTTAGCATGAATCATATATAATATAACTTCGTGCAAAAAAGTTCAAAATGACGTTCATCATCAGTTGCAAGAAAATATGAAAAAAAAAACAAGAAAAATAGCAAACCCATGAAGAGTTGGAGTAGAACACAACTATATTTTTCTTGATGAACATAGAGATGAAGAAAAGAGCTCTTCAACACTTTCCAAGTCATAATCTTTAGATGCATACCATGAAGACATTGATAGAGAAAAGAGGAAGATAGATGACATAGAAAATTTTTTTGCACCAAGAACGAAAGTAGGTTCCCAACTATTTTTGAAAAATATAATGGCATCCAAAAAAACCATACACCATGTTGATTTTGTAGTAGCGATGTGATTTTATGACTGCTGCATCTCATTTAATATCATAAACTCTATTTTTGCACAAAAGGCAATTGATGATATAGCTACAATTGAACCAAGATAGAAATTGTCATTATTTTACAAATTTAGAGTTAATCTTTTGAAATATTGTAAAAAGGAATGTAAGTTGTTGATTGATTCATACAGAAAATCATGGACAAATAATTTGCACACTCATGGCTGATGGTTGGACAGATAACAAGAATATGACCTTCATTAATTTTATTGTTTATTATCCAAGGGGTGTAACTTTCTTGAAATATGTGGATACTTCTGATATTACAAAAGATGTCAAGACTTTGTATTTATTATTTTATAAAGTTGTGGAATTAATAGGACCCAAAAATATTATGTAGCTTGTAACAGATAATATTACAAACTATAAAAATATAGGGGAACTACTATATAAAAGATTTGATAATATATATTGGTCTACGTGCTCTGCTCACTACTTAAATCTTATTCATAAAGATATTAAAAATATGTATCATATTCAGCATCTTGTAAAAAGAGTATCAAAAATTACAATTTTTGTTTACAACAAAGTTTTTATTTTAGCTTGGCTAAGAAAAAGAGCAAGTTAGAAGGAAATTATTAGTCTTGGAGCTACTAGATTCATTACAATATTTATCACTCTTAAAAGAATATATTATCACAAGCTCAACTTGTAGGTTTTTATAACAAGCAAAATTTATTTTGATTCAAATATATCCAAAATAGTAAAAAGGAAAGAGGTATCATCCATCATTTTAGATAATCAACTTTAGAATAATTATTTGCTAACTTCAAAATTATTTGAGCATTTAATTCGGTTATTGAGAATTATAAATTTAGATGAAAATTACCTCTAAGGTTTCTTTATGATAATATGTACAGAGCAATGAGAGCTATTACGTTCATGTTTAGAAATATCAAAAAGATGTACAAATTTTACACAAGTATTATAAAGAGAAGATGGGATAGCCAACTAAAATAAGGCATATACTATGCAGTCTTTTTTTTAAATCTCTATTTTCAATATGATAAAAAAAAATTTTACCACAAATCTGAAGTGATGCAAGATTTAATTGAGCTGATTGAAAATAAAAATATGTCCTAAACCATCAGTAGAATTGAATAAGGTTAGACTTTTCGGTGATAATTTACAAAGATTTCGAAAATCAATTACATTAATGAAGGCCGCCAAAGAAATACAGTCTGGTAAGTGAAACAATAATTTTAATATACATTTCTTCTTTCATGCTTATCTATTACCTATTAAATAACTAATATTTAATTATTTATAGATGAATGGTGGAAGATGTTTATATCAAGTGCATCAAATTTATAGAAATTGACTGTTAAAATTCTTAGTCAAACATCTTTATCTTCTGGATGTGAAAAACATTAGAGTACATATGAATTCATACCAAGGAATGAAATCATCTAGAGCATCAAAAGCTCAATGATCTTGTATTTGTTCAGTACAATCTCAATTTGAGGCATATATATGATTGTATGACTTTTAATTATATTTATGTATATAAAAATGCATAATTTTTTGTGATGATTCATATTAATTTAATACATTTCAAATAAAAAAAGAAATTATGATCTTTTGGATTATACAAGTATATATATATGGTAGATTTTTTTGTGCATGATAAAGAATCAATTTCAGAGTTTGTTTTGGAGAATTTAGAGAATGAAATTTATGCATAAAATGTCATTTTTATTGCTAAAGAAGTAAATAATAATTGTACTAAAGAACCTCAAAGTAAGTTCTCAATTGGATTAAATTATATCATTTGAAAGAGATATTCAACATATATATAATATTTTATATTTTTATTGTGCAGATGATAATGTCTTAAATGATGTTGAAGATGACCATAAAATAATTGGAAGTGATGATATTGATGCATTTGGGGGAGAATGTTTTGATGAAGAAGGATTTAGGGATATAACTTTTGATGCTACAAATCTAGAAGATGACTTCTAGATTTATTTGTATATTTATGTTTAAAGTTTGACTTGATATGAAATTATGAACAATTAATTGAGAGCTACTCATATATTTTATATATCTTTTATTTTAAAATAGCTCTTTTAATTATTTGTGTATATTTTTTTTATTCATAATTTTGTGTTTTATTTAATTTTTTGACATAGAATTTATAATGATATCATCATTATTTTGATAATTTTATTTTTTTAATAAAATTAGTATTTATTACGACATCATTCAACCCCGATATGATCGGTCGAACCGTGAACCTCTCATTCTTCTGGTTTGTTGTCCGGTCCGGTTTTCACAATCTTGCTTGTAATACACAATTCAGCACCTCATTGTCAAAAACATGAAACAAAAAAGGGGCCTCGCCAAAAAATTTGGTGCGCGAATTCAACATTCTCACTTTACACATAATACATGATGCTTGTAAGAAATTTTAGTAAAATTTATAGCACATAATTCATTGCCTCTCCATCAAATATATGACATGTAAAGGGGGGCTCAGCTAGAAACTTTTAGGCGAAACTACCATTATTACCTCATAAGTTATAACACACACAAGCAAAGGACGAAGGCTTCATAGATGGATAAGACTCCAAGAAATAGAGAGGGTTGTTGCATTTTTTAATTTTTGCAACAAGCTCATAAAAAGAAGGGGTGCTTGGTAGGTGTGGTATGTCCTAGAAAAATTACTATTTTAAAATCAATCTCAATAATTCAAACAAGAATACCAAAACTTGTGCTTGTGCAATCTTCATGTATCGATGGCAAAATAAGACAATACTCTGTTAGACCGGTTCACTTGGAACCGGTCCAGAACCAGCTGGCCCAAGAGCCGCCGGTCTAGAGAAGGCGGAAACTTCCGCCTCCTCTATCTGTTTCTCTCAAGGGGGCGGGCCCCACTACTCCAATCAAGGGAAAATTCAAACGGAGTGGGGAGAATAGGGTTTGGAAGGAAAATTGAATTAGGAAAGATATTGTATTAAAGGGGATGAGGGAATTAGGGAGATGCATGTTTTGATTGATTGAGAATTAGGGTTTCTTGGCATTTGGGTTCTAGACTCTCTTGTCTAGAGATTTGGGAGAGACGATCCTCCTCTCGAATTGAGGATCACTTGTATCTTGCTTTCGCATTGTTTTTGCTTTGTTTCCCTTATTGCAATCTATCATATTGGGGCTGATTTCACCCAAATTTTGCTTATTTCTCACTGTTTTTCTCCAATAAGAGATAGGTTTGCTTGCGAACTCAAGTATTTCCTATCATACTCCTTTTGAATCTACTTCGTCTGATCAACTTCAAGGTATGTGGTGATCATTCAATCAAGCCTTAAAAAATCAACACTAGAAATTTTAACATGAATCTGACCATCCAACTTAGACCATCTCCAACACTAATCTCAAAAAAATTTAAAGATCTAATTTATCTCCAAATAGATGAACCTTAATGCCCAAAAGTTTCCTCCCTTCACCCATTAAATATGATGATCCAACTCCAATATTGAAGACAACGTGCCTTCGCACAGTCCTCCAAATGTATGGACTAAAATGCCATAATCAAAAGGGAATTTTCATTTAGTGTTAAAGACGAATTGTGTTCTCCATCAATAGTTCAACTAATCAAAACCACCAAACTATCCTCCACACAAATGAACATAAATACCCACCATGGAAAATAAAGTTCATTCAAAAACCACTTCAATCTCTGCAGAAAACTCTAGTGAACCATCCTGTCATTTATACATCATTTTATTTCATCTTTTGAACCATCCTTACTGACTTGAGCAATAGAGTGTCTTCCTAGGGAGAAACTCTCTAATGTAGACACAACTTTTTGGATGTATTTGTGTAGGAAATAAATAGTCTCTGTGAAAAACATACCCACAAAAATTCTACCGACCTCAAATTGTTACCGACAAACAACAAGCATATTCATAAATGTATGCACCAAGTATATGCACATATGTGTGTGTATAAAATTTTAAATAAGAATAATCCAATATCACAAAAATATAATTAAAAACTCGGCTGCTATATAAAGTGAAAACAATCAACAATAAAGATGAAAATATTTTACTCCCGTAATTTTCCAAGAAAATAATGAATTCAAAACTATAATTCAGACGCCCAAGCTCAATGGCTTAACTCGAAAAGAAAATGATTACTGCTAAACTCGGCATAGAAACTACTAATTTTTAATAAATGCAGCAATCATTCAGAAAGAAAATGATAACTCATAAAATCAATACTAATGACTGATAAGTACCCTGACAACATTCAATGAATGCTGGATTAAGGAACAAATAATTCTTCATTGAAACCAAAACCTTAAGCCTATAAGACAGTCACCAAGTATGCAAAGCGTAAGCAAAAACTGTGATCAGTTTATACTCATTTTGTAACCTATAACGTCAAAGAAGCAAACCTGGAGGCTGCACCTCTCTCCCACGCATGCTCTTTCCCCATCATGGAGTAAATTGCTTCCCTTTGGCCTCTCACATACAATATCTGCTCTTTGCCCTCTTTTAATTTTGAGTTTTGGATGCCACTGACAAATTTAAAAAAGAAAAAAAAAACATGTATCAACAAGTGTATATCTTCACTATAAACTTATCGGATTTGGTAAAATGGAAGGAACCAGCTGTAAGAATATCAAAAAGAAAATTATACTCCACTAGGAGGATATGAAGTTGTGTTAGATTTTATGTATAGCCATCCTCTAATTAAGTATCTCAACAATGTTTTGCTGATAATCTTTTTGGTAACAGCATATTGCTAAAAAGGGATCATCTTAATTTATGCAAACGAATAGGTTTACCAATAAAACGCAAAAAAAACCCATTCATTTCAAAGTTATCCATGTCAACTGCACCCCTTCATAAAATTGTTAAGGCCCCCAGCAGCCTGTGAATCCAATTCCCTTTATTCATTCGCACAACACAAAAGTGAACTTCATTATTGCTTATAAGAATTTATAACCTCACACAAATAATTATAAAGGAATACACACAAGAAAATACAAAAAACTGCCGGTAACCAAGTTGCATGAGCAAATGAGGTAACAGTTCACCTCAAATATTCTTGAAATAAATGGCATTTATACTCCAAAACAGGTCCTCCATTGTTTTAATCCAAATATGGGTGTATGTACGATCTTGAACTTAAGCATGGAAAAATGCTTTGCACTACGAGACAAAATAGAATAAGCTACTAAGCATAATTTATATAATCAGCTGTCAATAAGTTTCCCCTAGATACACCTTAGCTCTTGTAGCAGCAACAGCAACATCATCAAGCCTTTATTCCACTAAGTGGGGTCAGCTACATGAATCATTTTCAACATTTTATCCTGTTAAGAGTCAAATTCTAATTTAAATCTAACAAAGAAATGTCATTTTTAATATTTTCTAACCAAGCCTTTTTAGGTCTACCTCTACCTTTCTTAACATAAGCCAAATCTAATACATCTACTCTCCTAACCAGATCATCGGAAGGGCGCCATTTTATGCGATTAAACCATGATGCAGGACTACGTAAGCAATGTTAATTCACTTAGATTTTGCACAACTTATGATCAGAATAATTTTAGAATAAATCTACTAGCAAATCCAAACAACGAAATAAAGCAATTAGTGGTTATCCGCTTAGATTTGAAATCACATGGTAAGAATTTTGAAGCTTCCAAAATAAATAGAAAATCAACACGATGAGGCGTAGTAGTTTTCAAACTAATCACTAATCTAATAATGAGAATTAGGATGCATTGAGGTGCACTCAAATCCTACGATTACTAAACTTAAGCAAGAGCAATGCGGAAGAGTCCGTCGTGACTGCAATCAAACCAATGAGAGTTTAGACTAAAAGGAATAAGATGCAAGGGAAAGAGAAACCTTCTTCAGGGAGAGGTGGAGATCCTCCACTCGATGCCTTCGAAGTGTTCGTCGATAGCCTCTACCAAATAGATCAACGTGCGCTACAAGTAATCCTCGACGGTGATATCAACTCTTGGATTCACGTCGAAGAAAGTAATCGTAGGATGTCTACGAAGCCGTCTTCGTCCCAAGTTATGCCGTAATCAGTTTCTGGATCCGCCATTCATGGATGCTCAAGGATGATCTCTTCCAAAGGGTGTTAGTAATCTTGAACTTTGTTGAAGAGAAAGAAGTTTCTCTTCAACTTGTGGTGGGACGGCAAGGTGTGGCCGGCCAAGGGAAGAGGGGGAGGGGAATTAGTAGAACAAGTGGGGAAACACAAGTAGAAAATCTGAAATAAATTTTAGATTCTCAATGGGAGGGATTTAGGAATAATTTCCACTTTAATTCCAAGAAAAGATGCTTTAATTTAAGAAAGAAATTAAGAGGTGGGGGATGAGGGGTTTCGGCCAAGCAAGGGGAGGGAGCAAATGTCTAGGTGCAATGTATTTTGGAATAAGAAATTTAATTTAATCAATCCATCATAAGTTGATTGATTGATTTAAATTAGGATCCTTCCAAAAAGGTTTAAGAGGAAATAGGAAAGATTTGAAACCTAGATTGGATTTAATTTCAAATTCAAATACTTTCCAAAAGCAATTGGAATTAAATAGGGAATGGAGTAAGAGTTTGGAAATAAATCCAAGTGGATTTATTGGAGGGGGGCCGGCGGCATCATGAGGGTGGGAGGGAATTGTGGCAAACAATTGGGGCTTCCTATTTTGGGTTTATGAATTAGGAAGGAACTAAATTAACTCCAATTTAAATTTGAAATTCAAATAGGGTTAATTTAGAAACTTTCCTAAAATAGATTTGGTATTTTAGGCAAGATTTTAAATTTCAAATAGACAATTTTGAATTCAAAAATCTATCCCAAAATTACTCAATCCCAATTAGGCAATGGGAGTGAAAGGGGAAGGGGGAGTGGGGAGGCCGACGGTGGGCATACTGAAGCCGGCGGGATGAGGAAACTCAGGTGGGTGTTTGGCCGTGAGGATGGGAGGAAGGAGATGGGGTTTCAAACGGGGAGGAAATCCGGCGGCTAAGTGGCTGTGGAAAACAAAAGGAAGAAGAAACAAAAGGGAGAGAAGAAAACGAGATAAATGAAAGAAACCATGAACCCGACTTATCTAGGTTGGTGGGTATTGCACAAATCTCCTTCCTCTCCTAGGAAGCTCTCTCTATTAGAACCCTTGAGCCCTCAAAGCTCATCCAAGAAGAAATTTTCATAAGCAATCATTCATCCCTCAATAAGATGAAAGAAAGGACTATAAATAACCGGGTACAATGACTCAACGAAATAAAAGACACTCTTGCCCTTTGGGCTTACATACGAAGCTTCCCATTAAAGGGGTACAAACGGAAAACATAAAACACTCAATAAATAAAATGCATGAATAATAAAATAATACAAATGACTCAAAAATACAAAGAACTCGATCGTGGTCGTAGATCAGGCGGCCACGTCTCTGATAAACCTTCCACAATATGATGTCCCCATCAAACCATCTAAGGCAACTCTCTCTAATCTTATCGTCACTTTTCTTAAACAAGGTATTAGCAATTACAAAATCATAAGCTATAGCAAAAACTAATATAATCTTACCACCTTTATCAGTCGCTCCAAATCCATAGCTACCATGAATGCTTTTAAAATCATCTACATCTCTACCAATATGTCCATTTAAATGTCATCCAATAAAAACTCTTTCTTCAAGAGATGTCTTTTGTATTAATTCTTCTAAACATATATCCAAACATATATTAGGAGCATACGCACTAATAATATTAATAATCTTAGCATCAACAATAAGATTTAAAGATATGATTTTATCTCCAATTCTATTATTTTTACAGTATTATCTTTCAAACTCTTATCTATAATCACACATACACCATTTCTAGTATGACTTCTACCATAATATCATAATTTACACCACAAACTATCAATCTCCTTGGCCTTCTCTCCAACTCATTTAGTTTCCTGAATGTAAAGAATATTTATATTCCTATGAATCATAATATTTATTAATTCTAATAATTTGCATGTAAGGGAACCTATATTCCAAGTTCCTATCGTAATTCTAGTTTCACGAACTAGTTTCTTTGCCCACATCCATTCATGATGTGGGAACCCTTGCCTATTTAATATTGCACTCAGGCACCTGTGCAACTGCCCTTGCACATTTTTCTTTATATTCAGATCATATAACATGTCGCTTCTAGGAAATGTCTGAGCATTAACACAAAAAGGTAAATAGAATTACACCCTAGCTCTAGCATCAATGAAGATGAAAAAGACAATACACCCATTATGATAAAAAATACTCAATTATAAGAATTACAATTTGACCAACTTAGGATCCATATGGTTGTAATTTTTCTGAGCTAGAACTTTCTAGCATGCATGGACCAACAAAAATGTTATTTTCTCCATCAACCAAATTTTAGCCTGTTTAAATGATGCCTCCATATAAATGTCACAATGAACATATTTGGGTTAATGACATGTACTAATTGGGTCAGAAGCAGAGACCTTCACGAGAATAAAGCTAACTTCATTTCTTTTACACTGATCTAAACTAAAACCACATTCTGCAAAGAGCACCATAAAGGGCCGTCGGGCCAGTTTGCTTGAATGTAAGCATTTGATCAGGGTTCTAAAGGTGAGTCGTATTGAAGTGAATTGCAATGATATATAGTTGTTTTGCAATAACTCACTTCTTGCGAAATCAGATTTCATGTCTGTTTAGTTTGCAGTCAGTTTCGTTCTTATCCACCTAATTTTAATTTATTGTATTATTTAAAGCAAAAATAATATTCAAACCAATCATGATATTAATTTTATATTATTATATTGACATTGATAGCAAAAGGAAAACTTAAAAGTGGCTTCCTAGTCTTAAAGAATGTAGCTCACTTCTCATTTTTTTAAGATGACTTCCAAGAATGGAATTCAGTTACATCTGGTTTCAACCAAACAAACACTAGGACTCACTTATAAAAGCATAACTCAATCATTTTAATACACTTACAGTGAAACAAATTGCAAATAAATCAAACTAAACATCCATTTTGCTGCTTTCATAAATTATTAGCATAAATTTATCAAAAAGTTGCAAATTTTGCTTCCAGCTTATGAATAAACAAAACATTGTTCATCAAAGAAACAGAAAATAAGAGCAAATAAAAAATTTAAAATAAAACCAAATTCATTGTCAAATAAAATTAACTCCGGTTAACTTTCCAGTCTCACTTGAGATAAAAAATTTCCTGGATGGTAAATTCAATCTTACTTCATTCCTGACGTAGCAGAGATCATGTGGATAACAATGGTGCAGGTTCTAGGTTATAAAGTAAAACATTTAGTAAATAGGCTTCTGATTAACGTTTTCCTTCTTCGCGGAACTGTTTTTGTAACATTTAGCCAGATGGTTAAGCTAAGGCTTCCCAGACAACAAATCCGGGGAAAACCTTAACTTGAACCTCAAAACATAGTTCTGTACTGTAACAAAGAAGAAGAAGACAGTACCTGGAGAGAAAACCGCGATTCAGTGAAACAAGAAACTGCAACGGAAATATTGGAAGATCAAATCGTCAACCGAAGCAAATCGATCTAGCGTTGGAGATGTAGATCTGGCGAAGAAGCAGTGGAACCAGCGGCAACGTCGTGATCACGGGTAGAGGAGAATACTATGCTAACAGTGAAGAGCCGGCAAGTCCTCCCTGGAAAAACCGGCTTCAAAGTTCCTTCAACGGAGTATGTTTTTCTCCGGCGAGTTCTCCGCGCTGGAATCAGCCACCGGGTGTGGGCCTCTGCCTAGCCTGCTCGGGAATCCGGCTTCTCCGAGTACAGCTATAGTGCCAATGCCTTAAATTTGGAAGCCAGGGTTTTTATCTTGTTTGGGACCGACTTTATTAAAGCAATTTTTTAGGATAAAAAATTTATTTTATTACTAAAAATAATTTTAAAAAGTATTAAGAAACCGTCCCAAGCAAAATCTAAATGAGATAGAAAAAAATATTTATTTCTATATTTTATTTTTATTTTATTTTATTCATTTAAAATACATTTTATTTTATTTAAAAAAATTAAGAAATTTTTTACTTTGTATGCATAGTTAGTCTTAGTTGGATAAATATAAACACTATATATTTATTTGGAGAAAATTTTCCGAAAATTAATTTCAAATCAAAATATAATTCATATGATCATATTCCCATTGTAACTCTCCCTTCCACACTTCAACTTTTTTTATTCTGTTATTATCATTTTTGTTTGAGATTTATTCACAATAGAATAAGGAGACCGCAACGGTACCTAAATCTAAAAAATCAGTCTAGCAATAACTTCACTTGAACCTTTAATGATGAAATTATATGCTAAACAATTATTTTCTTTAACTGAATTAAATATCAATATTCTTACACTGTATTGTGGATAATGGAAAGCGAAGAACAGCTTTCATTGAATATATTATAGAAGTCATAATAAAAACCTATTTATTTTGAAATTTGAGGTGATGTATTAATTTGGTGAAGCACACACAACAGTTTTAATTTCTTTAAGTCGACTATTACGAGATTAAGATATTACTTTTTTCTTGAATAAAATATTCATATACATTCAATACCGATCTCTCGTATATATGTATATTGTTCCAAGAAAAGATTTTGACAAAAAAAAAATTTGTGCAAATGTGCAAGATGTAAGATTAATCAATCATTCAACTTCGATTGTTGTAGTTCAAGTTGTGGACAAACCATATACATAATCAGGAGATGTTGCGAACAAACATATTGCAAATAATGATGGCTCTGCGTATACTTCAATGCCGAAGTGTCAAATAGATATTACAACTCAATTTTGTGATCTATCTATGACTAATAAGTGATTATAAATATGCATGTATAATTTGACTAAAAGCAATAGTTCAAGATATGGGGAACAAATAAATAACATTCACCTTATAAAAGGATAATACCTAAATCCATCTTCACTTTAATAGTTGATGGTATAATGGTCTCATACTTTGAGTTTGTTCTACATTCATTTAAAAGTTAGAAAACTTTTTTTATGACAAATAAGAGTTAAATAGCATATTACATCTATATATGATGAAAAAACTATCAATTTATGTTGAAGAAGTGTAATAAATATGCATAATATATCTACTACACTTTAGATAAATGTTCATAGAATTTATTGGTAGAGTATACAAGCTAAAGGTTTGGCAAACTCAAATGTGTTTGAGATTATGAGTCATAAATTATAACACATTTGTAATTTAGATATTATATCACAAGAACACTGACATGCTTAAATGTCACTCATTAGGCATATAATTAGGTAAGAGCTTCACGAATCTTGTTCAAAATTGAGGCCAAATACAATCATATCAAATGCTAAGAGGGATTATAACATTTTTTTGTCGGATGTGAGGGTCTTATGATGTTACCATCTTATGTAGCTATGCTACACAAAAAAAAATTTAATGGCTATTATTAATCTTTAGCATGGTAGTATAAAATATTTAGTATAAGACCACTATCAAAAGGCCACTATTTAATTTGGCATATTTGCGAGAGTCTTCCACAAAGGTGTTTGTTGCCCACAATTGTGTGCATGCAAAAATTTTATTTAACATTACGAATATACTTTGGTAAGAGAAGTGGCGCAAGATATTATTAATAAAATTTACTTATGGCATTTATATTAGTTGACTTTAAAAAAATGAGACATAGATGTATTTCATAACTATACCAAGGAATTCAATAAGCGAAGTGGAAATTTAATTGTTCGTCTCTAATAGGCATAATAATATCATTGATATTTGATTAGCCATTTACTATAAACATTATAGAGCTTGCACTTATCATGTCATAATGAATATCACGAAGTTCAAAACAAATATTTGTCATAAAGAATATCATTTAGCTAGTTGAATTCAATTGACATTTTGACAAAATATATTTCAATGACCTCAACACAGAGTGACTTATATAGAGAATGAAGTTTGTTTTGTGCTCTGGATTGATGTTTTTTTTCATAACAACTTATACAATTTGTTGACCACAAATATTTCAAAAAGTTTCAATAATATCATAAAAAAAGTTCAATTATTTCTAATAAATATTTTTTTTGGAGTTTTTTAGATACATAATGTAGAAATAACTCTTCCATAGATGTACTGAATATTTTAGTGAAAGAAATTGAAGCATTAGGGAAGCTACTAAATAAAGGATAAAGTTTAATTATATATCATATCAGTCAATTTAAACTAAATGTTATTCACTATGATCTTAATAGTGCTATTGATTTGCAAGAGACAATATATATATTAAAAAATTGATGTTGTGGTTGTAGCTCAGGTTCAAAGTGTTAGATTTTATAACTTATGTTTCAAAATTTTATGCATGAGAAACACAATTAGCTATGCATCGGACTGTCCAAAGGTGACTCAAAACGCGTCATGTCACCCAGTACACAGTCGCGATACACAACAAAAAAAGTGATGTGGTGCATTCTAATTCACCTTCTGACAACGTCCGTATCCACAGAATAATTTTACCTTCATTATAATGTTTGCTTTATTTTTCTTATTATTATAATAATATTGCAATTACTTATTTGATATAATTTTAGAAGTTATATATTATATTAGTTAGGCAATGATATAATGATTGTCACTTTGATGAGTTATAATTATTGAATTGAGATTAATTATGTTTTAATTATTGATTTACACTCTATTTTATATATTTTATGATTAGATGTTTTATAGTTTTTATGATAATCTTATTATAACTACTAGATTATGCTCTTTTGTATCTATCTTATGAACCCTTTCAAATTAGATTCAAATATTAATCTAACCTCACTTGAACATGTTTCGAATCTTATTCAAATCAATGGCATTTACAACTATATCTAAATACATAGTGCGCAACCAAAAAATAGTGTTTTTTATCATAAATGAAATTTCGAGAATATTTCTCTAAGAAAACAATATCATATATATTTTTCCAATTATACTTATTTTCCAAAATTTAAGTTTATTTTAAAAATTAAATAATTAATAATTAATTATAAATAATCACATTTCAACTTTATCAAATCCAATTAAGCCTAATTAATAAAATACCTTTATAAACACCAATTAATTTTTAAAAAAATAGGTTAATTAATATTATAAGTAACTATTGTATTTTTTATTAATCAAACTAAAATTTAATCTACATTCCAAATCTTAATGAACATAAGCAAAATTGCGATTACTTAATTATTTTTTTTATTTGCCAATAATTAATTCTTAATTTGATTACTAGCAAATCAGTTAATTGTCAAATATTAAGGGAAAAACAACTATTTTCAAAGTTATTATAGCCATTATAATTCTTTTTAAATTGGCAAAAAAAATTTATGCAATCACATTAACAATCCGACTGTAAAAAATAATTTATCACCACATAAATTTCGCAAAAATAAACGAATGAAAATATGTCAGTTATGTTAAAAGCAAAACAATAAAAAAAAAAAAAAACAATCTCACATATACATTTAGGCTTCGTTTGATTTTTCCTCTCCTTTTGTAAAAGATAATTTTAAAAACATTGGTCAACGGAATGGAGTTTTTAAACGGAGAAGCAAATATCAAAAAGCTTTTCAAAATAATAGAAAAATAAAATTCCCTAAAAAATATTTCTATAGAAGCGTCCCATCCAAACAACAACCAAAAAATAATTTCGCCGTTTCTAAACAGAGAAATAAAAAAATGCCGAAACAAATGAGGCCTTAGCCTTAATAATTGGTCAACACTTTAAAAAGTTGTGAAATGTTTATTTTTAAACTACAATGGTCTATCAATTTGTCCCATACAAAAAGCAATAATAACTAAAAAAAACTCTGCCCAATGAAACCACAAACTTTCTATAATTCAATAGTTCCAACCGTCAAAAAACCAAAAAAACAAACAAACAAAAGATCTCATAGATCTACAAATGCATATAGCCAATTAGTTTACTAAGGCTTCATTTGGGATGACTTTTTTTCTGTTTCTTAAAGTAATTTTTTAGTATAAAAATTTTAATTTTTGTACAAGAAAACTGTTTTATGAAGCATTAAGAAAGCCGTCCCAAACGAAGCATAAATGTCAATCACATGGTTGTATCAAAACCAAGGCTTTTCAACTCCAAGTCTGCAGTAATGGCGCTTCATCGCATCTATTGCTGAGAAAATGTTGATTTCTCAAGAAGCTGAGCTTTTGAAAGGCCAAGAGATTCAGCTATAGATTTCACCTCAGCTATCATTGCAACCACATCATTCAATTTGTTCACAGCCGAACCAACTCCCTGTTGCAGAAACAACAAACAACAAAGGATTTGTCTCAGTTTTGGGTGAATTTCAGACTTCCATTCATGAAATGTGATGCAGATAAATCTGTTTCTATTTACATTTGACATGGAAATTTCTTTCACCAAGTTCAGAGCTCCAAAGCTGGAAAATGGCTTCTTTTTAATTTGAAAATTGTATTATCTAATGACTGATCTTCTAGCAAATGAAATTTTCTTATCCATGGCAAAATTATAATAAATGATGAAGATAGATAGATAGAGAGAGAGAGAGGAGGAGGAGGAGAGAGGTGGTTGGCCAACTAAAAGATGGTTTAGAGACCATCTTCCTTGGAATATTCTGATAGAAAACAGCCACCAAAATAAATAAAGCTTGCAGGAAATCAGATAAAAACAGCAATATTGAGCAGCTTTAATGAAAAACTGAAGGAAATCCCAAAAAACAGCACTTTATATTCACTACAAGTTGAAAAGAAACGATTCGATACAATGAATCCTCAATTCAAGAGGAATATTCCACTCTCCAAATGTCTTGCCCAAGCTTAGAGCCCCAAAAGCAAACACAAGAGATCCCAAATTTCAGCTCAAATTCAAGATATAAAACCCTAACCAAGAGGAGAATACTTAAAGCATAATACAATTATTTAATGCCTAATCCCTAAACAGCCCTTCACATTTGAATTTTCCCCCCTAAACCCAAGCTCCCATCAATGCTTGGGCCCCACCCATGTGGCCTGCGTCCTGTAGAAAAGAACGGGTCGAGGAGGCACCAGTTCAGGTTGGGCTTGGGCGGCCGGCCTAACATATTCTTATTCATCATATTCATTATTTTGACTTTACCAAAATTCCTAAATTTCTAAAAAAGATTTTAACATCTTAGAAAATATTAATAAGGAAAGCAAATGAAAACTAAAAAAATCATGTTGAATATTTTATGAAAAATAAATCTTTTATAAAAGAATCATCAAAATAAAGTATTCTTCATATTATATCATTATTGTATACTTAAATAAAAAAAAGCAAATCATGATGAGACCAAATAAGGCAGGTGATGGTCATCAAAATAAGATATGTGGTGATATGGCAATCATGAGAAAAATCGTCTAAAATATTCAGAGACTATTTTTATATAGCCATTTTACTCCCCAAAGTTTAGATTTCTCAAATTTAGTACATCAACTATTCAAAAATGAACCCAAATGGTCACTTTGATAGAAATTGATGAAAATTGAGATACAAAATTGATTCAAATTTAGTATAGTAGATGGAATAAATTATTTGGGATCAATTTTGTATAGTCAATAAAATAAATTAGAGAAATGTGATACTCTAAGACTAAATTATATACATATAAATAATCGAAGGATTATCATGAATTTTTTCTCTCAATAATTATAATGAGTTAGAATGCATTGTAAAGCCTTAAAACAACCTACGCTCCTAAGCAGATGGAAGCCCTATTGAATCTTCGCAATGATGTCCGAGATATATTCTATGTTCTAAGACTTCAACTTCCCTCTTCATTTTCTTCTCCATCGCCGCTATATCATTGGTAAAGGGCTCGCATGAGTGAAGCACTCTACTCTCCCATAGAACTACGATAAACATCAAGAGCCCTACACAACTTTTGTGATGTAGGGGGAGACTCATATGAAAATGATGCTTAAGACACTTCCCAAGTGCACATACATGACTTTTGTGTAGCGGATTGCCCCGACTTAGTTTTGCCACCCCCTTTTGCAGGGTTGATGAAGAATCATTTTTGAAGTATAAATCATGAAATTGGATAAAATGATAACTCACAATGTGGTGCTACACAAAAGTTCTTATTTTCAAGTAACAAGTGAAAAATGTGGTGCCAACGTCACTTCTCCAGGCTCACCATTGAACACTTCCCTTGCGCCATCTCCTTCTAATGAACAAGTGAAAAATGTTGAAGGCAAAATAGATTTTCATTCTAGTGATGGCAAGGCATTCATCCTTGAATTATTTCACATGAGATGTCTACTAGAAAGCCTACCAGAACATGTTAAGAAGGAAAAATAGGCCTCTAACAAAAATTATGGAACAAAGTAGGAGATTTTTTATAAATGTGAGAATAGGTGCCACATAAACCAAAATGGAGGGACCTAAATGCAATTCATTATGATATATAAAATAAATAAGATAGATACATACCACTCCAGCTGCACCTGCAGCCAAGGCCATGGGTGCTGTAACAGCACTAAGTCCAGATGAACACATAACTGGAATTTTAACTGCCCGTGAAATAGAATATGTAGCTGCAATAGTTGGCGTTGCCTATTCCAATAGCAAATAAACAGTAAGGCAAATTACACAAAAAAAAATCATATAAATAGCAAAATGGCTGATTACATATAAAAGTAATATTTTCTTTTCATCCCAACCACCTATTTCAACAATAGGTGAAGCTCGGTTTTGATGTTTTACCTTCTCGATTAAACCCGCAACTCCGGGTTCTGAAGGATTTGAATATTTCCCGCCTTCAGTCTGAATTATGTCAGCACCTTCCTGTTCCAGCAATTCTGCCAGAATTACCTATCATAGAGCAAATTGTTTTGTAGATTCATCGTAACAATTTCTAAGAAATAGACTATACTTCCATAACCAGTTTCATGACGCCAACCTGATCAGGTATAGTTAATGTATGAGGAACAGTGACAGATAGTGCAATGGACGGTAGGATCTTTTTGGTCTCCCGGGTTAACTTTAGTATCTAAAAATTCAACATAGAAAGCTTAGGTTAAGAAGAAAACAATTATAGAGAAGTTGAGCAAAGTGAGGCTTAGGCTTTGTTTGGGATGGCTTTCTTACTGTTTTTTAAAGCAACTAAGTATAAAAATTAAAATTTTTGTACTAAAAAGCTGCTTAAAGAAACAGTAAGAAAGCCGTCTCAATTGAAGCCTAAAAGTACTGAAGATGGTTGTTTATAGTATAATAAGCACAAGATAAGACATCTTGCTTTAAAAAAAAGAGAGAGATCAAGCACAAGATAACTAATTTAAACATTTTTATCTTAATTTTATAAAGTTTATCCACAACCTTGTTTATGATTCATGAAAACTTGCCATCTAAGTATCTTTCGTGAATATAAAGAATATTCACCAGCTAGTAGTTGTTAAAGAATAAAGAGACCGTTTTGAAGTAGATAATTTTACAGGGGAAAAAAAAACAAAACATAAGTAATCATAACTTTTTCTGTTTGCCGATACTACCAGTTTCATAGATAGAAGCAAAAACAAAGTACTTGAAATCATGGAGTGATTGCTGGGGAAAAAACCAAGAAGAAAGCATATACAGTATATATTATGAGTTAAACTAGAGAGGATTATTTTCAAATTCAAGAGAAAATATCAGCTCTGCAAATTATAGCAGCATAGAAAAATAAAGGAATTGATTTGCTTAAAATAGAACTTACAGATAAAGGGAAATAACAACACAAAACAAAAAGAAAATGAGTGGAAACATGATAAATGCAGCAGAATATGGAATGAATTAAACTAATCATAGAGTCTCACAAAGTTTTCCCAAACACTAGTAACCTTCATCTTATCAGAGCAGTAAAAAGTGCAGTTTATGTAAAATCATTCACAAATTACAGAAGTTTGCCATTGTTTGCATATTATTAATGTAAAAATGGAATGTCAAACACAAACATTCTCGTTTATTTTTGCCAATTCAATCATGGTTAGACATGTCATGTTTTTGTGTAAACAAAAGCATCGAGTAGCACATTTAGATGGATTTGTGATGAACTCTATTTGCAGATTCATTTATCATTAGTACAACCTGCTCTGAAGAGAACTGTTTTCCCATCTCATAGAAGGAATCATAATTTCCAATTTCAACCTGCAAGCAGCTTTCAAGTTATGAGGTCATGTACGAATCAGTAGAAAAAATTGACAATTTTTCAGCAATTGCACTAACCATCGCGGCACCTGCTTCTACTGCAGAAAGAAATGCCATTGGCTCTACAGATGACACACAAACCTTGAAATAAAAGTTAAGACACATCATAGAAATTTAAATGGATGAATTACTGAATAAAACAGGCAGTAGGAAGATATCTGAATGTTATTAAGCTTCCAATAGGCTAAACATGAAATTTATTATTTAGTAATGAAAGTATTTACAGTAGTAACATCACCTACTAAGTAGCCTAAGAGCATTGTAATTTAACTTCAGATATACGAGATGAAGATCTACTACATAATTTCTTCCTCTACATTAATAATGAATGATTTTATTCATTAAATAATATTTGAATGATTTTATTCATTAAATAAATAATGAAGATCTACTACATAATATCTGAATGTTTTGAATGGTTATCAATTATTCTTAACATTCTTTTTATTCAATTTGCATGCAGTATGTTTAAGATATAAATATAATTATATCATGCCCAATTCATATTTGTATCCTACATTTTTAATAATTGGCATGCCCTATGTTTGTGTCATATTATATCTTTATTGTCGTGTGTGTGTGTATATATATATATATAAGCTCAAATTGTATTTCAAATTAGCCATATTGAGCTCAAAAACAACTTAGAAAAGAAAATTCAAGAAATATGCTCGTGATTCAACTAAAAAATGAGTCAATTTTGAATTGACTCAAAACTTAAACAAGCTTTGAGTTTTGACAAAACAACCAATCTTACGCCTAATCAATTTAGAAGATCAAGAAACTTGAATTTTTGCCAAGTTTTGCTTCCCTTGTAAACCCTGATTCCACAATTAATTTCAACTAAATGAAGAAAACAAATCATAAGCTCCTTACATTAAATGAAGGTTTGAAAGTTTTAGATTCTCTAGCAAAATTATATTGTGATTTGTATGATAATAAATAGTTCAAAGCTTTTATAGTACACGGGATGATGGCAAAGACTAGCATGTAAAAAGTGCAATAATGAAAGAATATTATTAAAACTTCATGGAATTGTTGTTGAATATGGTAATTGTTTAAAAAAAAAAAAGGTTACTCGATGTTCAAGTTCATTAATTTCTTGTTCAAATTGCCAATGTAATTTCCATGTTGATGGGGTAGCCTACGCATTCCTTTCCACATAATGCAGCATATCAGCCAAATCAATAGAGTTTTCAAGAGGACAGTAAAGCAAAAGAGTGAGTAACGTAAAGGAACTGAGGATAAATAAATTGATGAATCATGAGGAGCTCAAGGAAGAGAAGAAGCTTAATACTCAATAGATGTTTCGTGGTTGGATGTCCTTAAGAGCCTACGTTTTGTAAACATAATTATCCACACCACTACAGTAGACTTTATTGTCCCATCTTGTGTGAGTACCCAAGAGAACTGGAATGAAAACAGAGGTGTGGAACTAAGGATACAATTAAGATATAATAAGTTGAAAAAGAAGGCCCAATAGAGTTCTGAAAAGATAATTCATTTGAGAATTAAAAAAGAAGTTGAAGTTGGTGTTAGCCATAAAAATATGGTACACTATGAGAAGGGTATGATCAAGTGTAAGCAACTAGTGAAGTAGAAATTTCTAAGCTTTTACACTGCTTTTAATTTGCAAGAGCAAATTACTTTCGCAAGAGGATCTATGATCCAGGTGGGTGCATGTTTAGGGGGAAAAAAAAACTAAAGAGGGTCAAGGGAAAACAAAAAGCAGCGCCACTCCAAAAGAGTTATTATATTAAATGTGATTGTGTCTAATATACTTAGGCTTCATTTGTGACAGCTTTTTTACAACTTCTTAAAGATGTTTTCTAGTATAAAAATTTTAATTTTTATACTAAAAAACTGTTTTAAAAGCAATAAGAAATCCATCCCAAATGAAGCCTTAATTATAAGTGATTTCAACCTATAACCATCTCAATGACATTATTTGGGCCATTCACATTACAGTGGCCAACTAAAGAGCTAGCTGGGCTATATCATGATTTTTTGGCCACTCATATGGGTAAGGAATGCTGGCATCCCTTTATTCAAGGGAAATTTGGTGTATGCTTAATGTATCACTATTCTATCTTTAGTAAGATATACCATCTTTTGTAAAAGTTTATTTTAAACAACATAGAATTAATTTCACTAACAAGGATTTTTTTTTTAAATTCATATACTAGTAAGAATATCTTTGAAGATAATTCTTTGCTCAATAAAACAACTTGCTTGATATTTATAATACCTTAAACAGATTACTTAATATTACTTTTATTATCTCAACAAAAACTCAAATACTGGATTTATCGTATTGCTTCGTTCAGCGAAAAGATTGAGAAAACGATAATGATACTCACATTATATAAAACCATGACAGATTCATCGAACAAAGATTGAACAGGATTTTGGTAAACAAGAGCACCAAAACTATCTATCACATCAAAGATTGAACAATAGAAAATTTTGGGAACAATCATACAACTTACAACGAAAAGAAGATAATTTCATAAACTTTAGTTTTACCGGTAGAGAAGTGAGATTCATGGCAAGCTTTACCAAATCTGGATCACAAGCTATATCAACAAGAGTGGCACCTCCCTGTCATTCAGCTTTGTTAATGAGATATATAGCCGTTGTAAAAATTATGCTGGTTGATATATATAAAAAAAAAAAAAACAATCAAAATTAAAGCTTGGGCATGGAAAAAAGGGTGAAAAGTTTGAAATTCATGGTTTCCATAACCCCATTACCATCAGTAAGGCAAACCAAAATAAAAATTCATGAAAAATGGAAAGTATTGCATCAAACTAGAATATGTGATTCTATTAGATACTTTAGGATGACATTATGAAGAATTTCAGCAGAGCCTTCGATCACCAAACCATGGGCAAACCAAGATGATGTATGGGCAATTTGAGAATATGGCAATGAAACATTTTAGTTTTAAAGTTATAACTTGTATTTCATCTAAGTGTCAACTTACACAAACTACAAATTTAAAGTGGTTAATGAAAGTAATCTAAGTCGCAAGGGGATTATGAATCAACTCCACACAAGATGAAAAGTAGTAATATACCTACACCAGACAGACTATGAAGAAGGCAGGTTGAAAGTGTTCCTATGCAAGGAGGGATCCCCAATAAGCAATCAATAGCTTAGCCTAACAGCAAAAGGATTGGTCCACATCTTATCAAAAGAAAATATGACTAGAATGCACGCATTCACAACATAGAGTTACCAAGTGGTTGAAGCAAGTGCAACATTATATTAAAACTTTATTCTAATCTTAGCCAATCTCTAAGATAAGTCCCTCGGCAAAGAGCAAGTGATGGGGAATTGAGTAGGTCAATCAAAATTTAACCCTATGTTGCACCAACACCGCGGACTAATGAAGCACGATATTTTGGACATGTAAACTTACCTGACAAAATTGTAACACATGTCGAATGAACTCTCTATATGTCCAAATTAAAAAAAAATGAAATTCACTAACACGCATGCCAAATACATGTGTCATTAGTAATAAATTTTAACTTTAAAAGTATACTACATAAATAACTACAGTTAAGCCCTTTATTTATTCTTTCTTTTTTTTAATATCTTACCCAAATGACTTAATAGCCACTTAATATTAATTTTATTTTAATTATTCCACTCTATTTATCTATGATTTTTTTCTAATATTTCTTTTCTATTTAAAAATAATAATTTTTCCAACTTCAAGCTAATAATTTATAATATCATGTGACTATTTTTTTCTTCAATTGAGTTTAAGGTATTTAATAAATTTAAATATATATTTTATTTTATGAGTTATTAAAACAAGTTTAATATTATATGAATTCAAATTATTTTTATTTAATGTTTGAAATTAGCCTATAATTTTTTTAACTCTAAATTATAATATTATAATATTGTATCCAATACATATATGTCCTATGTTTTTAATATGAAGTGCTTCCTATGTCTGTGTTGTAATGTGTAGATGCCCCTGTATCAAAATCGCTACATCATAGATCCCAACTAGTTCAAACTCAAAAATGAACTTGAAAATGAATTTCTAATTATTAGAGAATAGGAAAATTGCCAAGCTATCTTTAAGAGGTGGGAAAGTAATTAGGGAGCCCTTTGAGCTCTTGCATGTACTTCAAGTACAAGGTTTCACTTTGCGAGGCCAATACAAGCTCCCCACTCCACCAAAAAAAAACAAATAAAATGCACACACAAAAAACTAATAGAATAGCGAGCACAACAATCAAATAGATCAACCCATCAAAATTCATGCAAACATATTGCAGTGAAACACTACAAACAAATAAAGACAATTAAACTCGCTATCTTAGAAAAAATTGGTACTAGTAAAACTTCCCAAACTTTTTGCCCAAAGGTTCTGGGTAGTACAAAAAGGATTCATAGAAACTGCATTTAGGATATTTTGATAAAAATAAAAAATAAAAAAAAATAAAAAAAAAAACACTCTAGCCCATCTTCTCTAGGAAGAGAACATGCCAATGTTATGTTGGGGGAAGTAAACCACACAACGACACAAATAAGAAATAGAAAATTACAGCGGAAAGAAAATAACACTGGGACTTAACGTGGAAAAAACTCGAAACCAGGAAAAACCCATGGTGCCAAACCACACCAAAAAATTCATTATGAAAATTCGGAGAAAATAGAACATATCTCTCTTTTTTCTCACTTTCTCCTTGTCTCCCTTCTCTTTAACACCAGTATTACATAAGAACAAACAAAGAGATGCACAAACTAACCAAGAGATGTAACCCTTAATAAAAAATGAGAAAGAAAACTGCTTTGTCCGCCTCACAGCGCTTAATTCTCCATCTACTGCCTGTATAAAAGCATCGTAGCACTGGGGTCTAGAGCGCCATAGCCTACCTGGCAGCATTGCAGTGTTCCGCTCTTTGTCTTTTTTCACCAAAATATGTAGTGTCGGGGCACTAAAGTACACATCATCAGAGTGCTCAAGCATAAAATAACCTAACCCAAGTAGGAGGAGAATCCCATACAACCCCCCAGCGAGCCCGACAGATTGAATTGAGGTATGAGGTAGTTGTACAACCAGATTTATCGACACAATCAGATTCCACACAAAACTAACATTATGATGATGGCTTGCTAGGAAGGAAGAAGATACCAATACAATAAGACCTCAAGGAACTGATTATGGGATCTCTTTGTTTCCTTTGTTATCTAGCTCTCTACATTACAGCAAACAGTTGGACCCAATCATTGCCAAAAGTAGCCTAAACACCAGCAACTCAAGAGTTTCAATCACTAATCAGCCAAGTCCTAAGTCATGACACCATACCCCAAAAACACATGCAACTCCATGCAATAGATCAAATCTAGCTTTATTCCATTCCAATCTCCCCAATTGGAAATATTTGGAAATACAACTTTTTGTTAATAAACTACATCAACCACTTAAGAATCTCGCCAAACATTACATAAAGAACTTTGTTCTAAAACAATTTAAAGGAGAAAGATGAATCCACAATCCAAACAAGTAAATAAATGCGTACTAACACCCAATCATAATGGACTGAAAAGTCAAGCAACCAAAAGATAAACACACCAAGATTAAAGTGGAAAATTCTTATGGGGGAAAAACAGATGTTTTAAACCAAGAGAAAAATTACATTACCTCAAAAAAAATAAAAGGTACACAACACGTTTCCTAAAATTAGGATAAATTACAATTGTTCCCTAGTTCCTCTAAAAGAACCTTCCAACGGTGGGAGGATATCTAGCAAGCAAGGAAGAAAAACTCACACAAGAGGCCCTCCTAAATGTCTCAAACAACCTTTGAGTATGTCATTCTTAATTCTTTGAATAATTCCTTCTTTTTTTTTTGGCCCATAAAAATAGTCAAATTGATGTCTAACCACTCAAGTGTTTCTATCCTTGGGATAATTTTGTACTTCCTTCCATCCAGGCATCCAAAAAAAATTAGATTGCATGGAATTCCTATTTTTCTGTTCTTCTATCTCTTTCTCCACTCTGAGAACCAAGCATCTTATTTCCCTCGCTTGAGATCTCCCTTGAGCTACCAACAACCTCTTTTACACCTTAATCCTCGTGCCCTCAACTAACATGGGCATATCCAGTATATGGAGCTCCAAAGTATGAGGGGATTGTTGTAAGTAGCATTATCCCTACATTTATAAAGAGGTTGTTTCCATTACTCAGACTTGGGACCTTCAAAACACAATAGAGAGGCTTAATCGCTACGCTAGGCTTTTCCTCTTCCTCAAACAACCAACTTAAAACAAAAATGAAAGAGCCACCCTACATGAGCCAAACCAGTAGCCCATGGATTAATGAGTTTATCAGGTCTCCCACATCATGAAAAATCTCAACACATTTGAGGGTAAGAGATCCACATCATGTTTTGGCCAAATAAGCCTACAAATGGATCTCAGATGCCTCCATAGTTGAGGTAATTTTCACCATTTTCTGCATAGTCAAACCCTGTTCCCTTTCACTTCTGGCTACAACTTCAAAGATAGAGAACTCCAGTAATGGCTACAACTACAGCACCACCTCAAAGATGGAACTCCAACTTAGTAAAAGCCATCTTCTCTTGCAACAAATTATCATTATTTCCAACTATTGTGAAATGAAGGTAGAGTTAAACCTTTTCTGCTGCAATGACAACAGATGCTACGTTCTCCTTGTCAAAATTCTGAAGTCCAGAAATGATCTGAAAAAAAAAAAAAAAACCCAAAATATAAACCTGAACCTAACAACCAGCAAAATATTCTTGGTCACATCAAAAGATAAGCTTAAAAGAGTGCAAAGGAGATACCTTTAGAGCTCTTCTATCACGGAAGCTTCTGAGTACGAACTCCTTTGTCACAGAAAGGGATGCCCTGGTGGTCAGAGCAATGGGGGCCGGTTTTCTCGCCGGGTGGCGGTGGCTCGCCGCTGGGAAGAGCCGGAGAAGGGGGTTACGTTCTCGCTGCTGAAGAGAGAACTCGTCGTTTTTACAATGGGTGGGAACTGACAAAGAACCGAACACCGCTCCATGAGCCATTCTGAAGTATGGTTGCTGGGGATTCCTCCTAAGCTCAGAGATAGGAAGCCAGCTCCGGGAGAGCTGAGATAGACGATGTCAGAAAGATAAGGTGCTCTCAGCTCTGCTTTGGCTTATTTTAATTGAAATTAATACTTCAAATTTTAAATTTTTTTTCTTTTTTTTTAATTCAATATACTCAAACTTTGGCTGCTAAAAAGATATTAATCACCTAAAATGAATCAATTTTAGCTTAATTAATCCATAAATCACAATAACAATTTTGCTAATGAATTTAGTTCAAATATTAATTTTCTTATTAAATTTGTATTCAACTAATGCTGAAAATTCTTGACAGAAACATTATTGTTGACGGTGGAGTGAATCACTGCAAAAGTTGAGAGAAGCAGAGGGAGGAGAGGAGCAAATCTTTAAAGAAGTTTGTACTGAAAAAGAGCCAATTGAGAAATCCATCTTAGGATTTCCATTAAAAGTTAAAACAATGAAGAACACCACAGAAACTCTACCCTCTGTGTTCAAAAACGAAGAGAAGATAGGACATATTTTATAAATAATGACGCTTAATATATATATATATATATATTTTGTTGAGGTTGCCAGTGACTATTTCTCTTTCTAATTTTTTAAATAAAATTTATTGACAAAGGGATAGTTCAATCACATTAATACTTAGAATTGTGACTTTCAAGGAGCAAAACATTAACTTTAGAAAACTTATTAGCAATGTAGTTCAATTTTCCTATGGTGTGGGACTAAGCCAACTAGCTTATTCACTTATGTGTGAATAAGTGAATTTGTTTGAGTAGAAAAATTTTATGATTTGAGTTCATCCCTCTAACCCCTATTTATAGGTTTACGCTAAGTGTTGAATGTTATAGAATTGACCACATGTATCTCTTAGTGACAGTTAAAAAAAATAGGGATTTTTACATGCATAATACTTAAAATTATTGAAAATAAATATTTAGCATCAAAATTTCTATATTTACTAATATACCACCTAAAATCCATCTTTTAATCAATTCTAACATTTCGTTTAAACATTCCTTCAAAAATCACTTTCAGCGATTGTCTTCCCCGTCAATGGCACCCTTTCACAATAAATACAAGTATCTCATTGGTTCATTGGAGTGGTAGAATAGAAGAAAAGGGAGATTTTATGTTGTATATTAGTAAATATTGAAGTTTAGGTGTTAAATATGTATTTTCAATAGTTTTAGATGTTATGAATGTAAAAATCAAAAAAAAAAAAAATACAAGAATTATGCTATTCAATTTCTATTATATAGATTAGTTGGCAATATAATGATTTTGCAAATCATTAGACTTAAGGAAGTCCCCTACCAAGTTAATAAAAAAAACTAACTTTGCGTGAATAAGTAGAACAACTATAAAATAATAATCAACCATATAACGAAAGTTATTCATTATGTTGATTAGTATATCATACTTGTATGTTTAGGACTAGTTGGATTTGTGATTTCCTCTTGGGCTTAAACCAAGCTGACATAGATTGGAATTTGACTAACTTGTCTTGAACCAAGTCAACTTGGTTTAAATTTAATTTTCAATAAAATTAAAGAAAGAGGGTTTTCATAATATTCACAAGGTTTTTTTTTATCACTCCCTTTTTTGTTTTGTTTTTGGGAATTTTTTTAATATATACAATAATATTTATATATTCATGCATCTTTGATTTTTAAATTATTTATATTCTGCAGTTCATTACTCTAAATGTCATAGGAGAAAAATTCATATGAATTTTTACTAACTAGCTCATTGAAATGTGAGGAAGGCATATAAAAGTGGTTTGTAAGAATATACATAATGATATGGAATAGTACTTACATTTATTTAATCATTAATGAAAGAGAAGAGCATGCACTAGAGTTCTGAGTTACAATTTTGTTAAATGGGATTAGTTTTATTTCTCTTTGTACATTTTCTCGTCGAAAAGAAGCAGATTAAGATGTTGCAAAACTTGCACTTGATATTATATCAAAAAATTGAAGAATGAGGATTCCAGTAGTATTCATAAGATTTTTTTTCTTATCATTGCATTTTTTATTTTATTTTTGGAATTTTTTAACATAAACAAGAAAATTTGTATATTAATGCAAATTTTATTTTTTAAATTATTTGTATTCTACTACTCACTACTATAAATGTCGTAGGAGAAAAGTTCATATGAATTGATACTAACTAATTCATTGATATGCAAGGAATAAGGCACATGAAATTTCTCATTATGTATATTTTTTTCTTGTTTCCCAAAACTTTTAGTTTAGGATATTATAAAATTGTTTTACATTAATTTTTACTTAACAGGATCCAGCACTTTGCAAATTGCTCATTAATGAATATGAAGCTAAGATGAAGAAAGGCATGCACACATATAGCACCACTCATCAAAATAGACTTCTTCAAATATTTATTACGACTATTACTTTCGATAAAAAAATTTATGTTGGATTTGTTGGAAGGAGTAAAAAGGTGGTAGCACGAAATGAAACATGTGTTGTTATTGAATCTGTTTTAGATATTGTTCTTTTATCTACATGCATGAATTGATCTTTTTTAATAATAATAAAAATTATGTTAACATTTTTTCATATATGTCCTGTTGGAAATATTCATGATATTTTTTGTAGCAAATTTAAACACAATTTCTATAATGACCTAAATTATCAAGAAAAAAAATATTTGTCATTCACAAATTTGACATATTAAAACTTACACTTGAAATTATATCAATAAATTTAAAGAATGAGGGTCCTGTAATATTCTGAAGATTTTTTTTATATCATTGTATTTTTTTTTTAATTTTTTTAACATCGATAATAATATTTGTATATTCATACAACTTTAATTTTTAAATTATTTATATTATACTACTCACTACTATAAATGTTGTAGAAGAAACATCCATATGAATTGATACTAATTAATTTATTGATATGTGAGGAATAAGACATAAAATTTCTTATGATGTACATTTTTTTCCAAAACTTTTAGTTTATGATATAATAAAATTGCTTAACATTACATTCTACTTGACATGATCGAACACTTTCTAAATTGATCATTAAGGAGTATGGAGCTATGATGAAGAAAAACATGTCAACATATATTACCACTCAACAAGATGGACTTCTTCCAATATTTACTATGCATATTAATTTCAATGAAAAAATTTATGTTCGATTTGCTGGAAGGACCAAAAAGGAGAAAAAATGAAATACAACATATGTTGTTATTGAATTTATTTTTGGTTTAATTATTTTATATGTATGCATGAATTGAATTTTTTTTTAAAAGTATTGATAATATGTTAATGTTTTGTTATATCAAGCGCTATTGAAAATATTCGAGATATTTTTTACAGCAAATTCAAACACAATTTTTATAATGGCCCAAATTATGAAGAAAAAAAAAACTTTGACATTCACAAACTTGATAAATCAAAACTTTCACATGAGATTATAACAAAAAGTAAAAAAAAAAGGTTCTTGTAATATTCAAAAGGATTTTTTTCTTATCATAGAATTTTTTTAATTTATTTTTGAGAATTTTTTTAACATAGATAATAATATTTTTATATTCATGCAGGTTTGATTTTTAAATTATTTATATTTTACTACTCACTAGTGTAAATATAGTAGGAGAAAAATTCATATTAATTGCTACTAACTAATTCATTGATATGTGAGGAATAAGACACATAAAATTCCTCATGATGTAAATTTTTGTTTCCTAAAACTTTTATTTTAGAATATTAAAAATAGTTTGACATTGCATTCTACTTAACTCAATCAAATACTTTGCAAATTGACCTTTAATGAATATGGAGCTAAGATGAAGAAAGACATGCCTGCATATACCACCACTCAACAAGATTAACTTCATCCAACATTTATTACGACTATTACTTTCGATGGAAAAATTAATATTTGATTTATTTGAATGAGCAAAAAGGAGGCAGAATGACATGCGACATGTGTTGCTATTGAATTTGTTTTAGGTTTGATTCTTTTATCTGCATGCATGAATTAACTCTGTTTAAAAAGTGTTGAAAATATGTTAGTATTTTGTCATATCAAGCACTATGAGAAATGTTTGGGATATTTTTCACAGCAAATTCAAACATAATTAATGTAATGGCACATATTATCAAGAAAAAAGATATTTGAAATATCAAAACTTGCACTTGTGATTATATCATAAAATTTAAAGAAATGAGGATTCCCGTAATAATGATAATTTTTTATTTCTTATCATTTTTTTTTTGGAATTTTGTTTTAACTTACAAAATAATATTTGAATATTCATATAGCTTTGATTTTTAAATTATTCAAATTCTACTGCTCACTAATGTAAATGTCGTAGAAGAAAAATTAACATAAATTGATACTAACTAATTCATCGATATGTGAGGAATAAGACATAAAATTTCTCGTAATGTATTTTTTTCTTGTTTCTTCAAATTTTTAGTTTATGATAGTATAAAATAGCTTAATATTATTTTCTACTTAACAAAATACAACACTTTACAAGCCCGCACAGGTTAATTTATTTGAACTATTTGAAATCGTTCTACGGCATTTTGAACTCAATTTTGACACTTTTGAATCTATTCGGGATCCTTATGCCCGAGTTTGGGTTATTATGGAGTTTCAAACCTCGTTAAAAAAATTTACAATAGTTTTGACATGTATTTTTGGACTTATGGAGCTTCGTTGTCCAAAAATAGGCGGCAACATATGTATCATCAAAAAATTATCTTGATTAACATGAATCTCGAAGCAAAATCAAGTTGAAAACTTCCAAAATTAAATCTATGCTGAAAAAATACAAATTCATTCGACTCAATTTAACAAACTTATAGTCAAATTGAACATCTTCAAAATACAAACCCAACGACACTAAATTTGACTCAATCCGAGCCCTAATGGGTCCAAATCAAAGACTCGAAGCGCATTTGGAAAGTTCAAATCATAAATTGGATTATCAAACAATTTTCAAACATAACATGCTTATAGTCGAATCGATCGGCTCGACGAGACGAATCCAACAAGCCCAAGACCGTCGAATTCTAATATCATTAAGACATTCAAATGCTCATTAAATAGTCCATGATCAAAGGGATCAATATCGATCATCCATTTAAACTTACAGTCCATGACTATAAAAATATAAAATTGGCCACATGTATCTCATTTATAGGTTTGAGCTAAGTGTTGAATGTTATAGAATTGGCCACATGTATCTCTTAGTGAATGTAAAAAAAAGGATTTTTACATACATAATACTTAAAATTATTGAAAATACATATTTAGCATCTAAACTTCTATATTTACTAATATACCACCTAAAACCCATCTTTTAATCAATTCTAACATTTCGTTCAAACCTTCCGTCAAAAATCACTTTCAGCGATTGTCTCCCCCGTCAATGTCACCCTTTCACAATGAATACAAGTATCTCATTGGTTCAATGGAGTGGTAGAGTACAAGAAAAGGGAGATTTTAGGTGGTACATTAGTAAATATTGAAGTTTAGTTGTTAAATATGTATTTTTAATAATTTTAGATGTTATGAATGTAAAAATCCAAAAAAAAAAAAAAGAATGATGTTATTCAATTTCTATTATATAAATTAGTTGGCAATATAATTATTTTGCGAGTCATTAGACTTAAGGAAGTCCCCTACCAAGCTAATAAAAAAAACAAACTTTGCGTGAATAAGTAGAACAACTATAAAATAATAATCAACCATATAACGAAAGTTATCCATTATGTTGATTTAGTGTATCATACTTATATGTTTAGGGCTAGTTGGATTTGCGATTTCCTCTTGGGATTAAACCAAGTTGATATAGATTGGATTTGACTAACTTATTTTGAACCAAGCCAACTTGGTTTAATTTTAATTTTCAATAAAATTAAAGAATGAGGGTTTTCATAATATTCACAAGTTTTTTTTTTATCACTGTCTTTTTTGTTTTGTTTTTTGGAAATTTTACAATAATATTTGTATATTCATACAGCTTTGATTTTAAAATTATTTATATTCTATAGCTTGTTATTGTAAATATCATAGGAGAAAAATTCATATGAATTTATACTAACTAGTTCATTGAAATGTGAGGAAGGCATATAAAAGTCGTTTGGAAGAATATGCACAATGATATAGAATAGTACTTACCAACGGCGGAGTGAAGGGGGGCCCACGGGGGCACGTGCCCCCCCTCGATTCGGAGATTTGGCTTATATGGTTGCTGTTTTAAAAAAAAAAATTTGCAATGCCCTAAGTCCTGAACCCGCTGCGGTTGACGGCTTGACGACGCGAGAGCGAGAGGCAGGCTTCCAGCGACGACGTCGAAGTCGCGTTCCAGGCTTCCAGCGACGACGCCGTCGACACGTTCCAGGCTTCCAGGGGCGATCGCGTTCCAGCGTGCTCGACTGCTCGGTGGCACGGTGCTCCAGCGACCAGCGGAATTGAATTCCAGCGACGAAGTAGCGTTCGATTGCGAACTACTTTAGGTAAAATGATTTTTTTTTCAAGTTTATGTTTTATTCTATTGCATTCTTGATAGATTTTATGTGTTATTCTTTGATTTATTTTCAAGTTTATGTTTTACTCTTATGTGTTAATTAACATAAGTCTTAATGTGTTTGTCTTTTAATTTGTTAAGTTCTTAACCGATTGTCGATTGATCTTGCAAAATAATAACTAGGTTTTTGTCATGGAGAAATATTTTAAGAAGATTTCACAGAGTTCAAATGAGACAAGTAAAAAAGATGAGGAGCAAAGTCCAAAAAAAATTTGCGTGGAAATTGAATCATCAAGAAATCAAGAAGTAGATTTAGAGAACCTTCCATCTGATCCTGGTTTGCGAATCCCTTTCTATGAATTTTCTCCTAATATTCAAGATCAAGTTTGTCGAGCTTACTTGCAAAGAGGACCATTCCAACCTCGCATTCATGAATTTCCTCAAACCAAATTTGGGGCAAAGGATAGACGTTTCAATGTTGCATGGTTTGATAAATATTCTAATTGGTTAGAATACAACATATGCAAAGATAAAGCTACTGTTTATATTGTTATCTATTTAAAGCAGTAGGAAGAGGAAATGAGGATGATGATGCATTCAATAAGAATGGATTTTCAAATTGGAAAAAATCAAATAGATTTGAACTTTATGTTGGGAGTCATAATAGTGCGCACAATATTGCACGACGAAACTGTGAAGACTTGATGAATCAAAGTCAACATATTGGTTTTATGTTTAAGAAGCAAACAGATTATGCCACAACTGCATATCGGACTCGTCTAAATGCATCGGTTGATTGTGTGCGTTTTCTTTTAAGGCAAGGGCTAGCTTTTAGAGCCCATGACGAGTCTGACACATCCAGAAATCAAGGAAATTTTCTTCAACTGTTGCACTTTTTAGCTGAACATAACAATGAGATAAATAATGTGGTGCTAAAAAATGCTCCTGAAAATTTAAAGTTAACAGCACCAAAAATTCAGATGGATATCACCAGAGCTATTTCGATTGCAATCACAGACTTTATAAAGGAAGAAATTGGAGAAAATTACTTCTCTCTTTTGGTTGATGAAGCACGTGATATTTCCTCAAAAAAGCAAATGGCTATTGTTGTTCGATTCGTTAACAAAAAAGGTATGGTGGTTGAACGTTTTCTAGGCATTATTCATGTTGCAGAGACAACAGCTAGAACTCTAAAAAAATCTATTGAAGAATTGCTTTCAACTTATGGTTTAAGTATATCCAAATTGCGTGGTCAAGGATATGATGGAGCAAGTAATATGAGCGGGGAGTTTAATGGGTTAAAGACATTATTTCTCAATGAGAATAATGCAGCACATTACATTCATTGCTTCTCACACCAACTCCAGTTAGCCTTAGTATATGTTGCTAAAAATCATGTTCAAATTGCTCTCTTATTCTTAGTAATTTCAAATATGATGAATATTGTTGGGGTTTCATGCAAGCGACGTGACCAACTTCGAGATAAGCAACGGGAGAGAACTTTAATGGAATTACAGAATGGAGAACTAGTAACTGGACAGGGGTTGAATCAAGAAATAACTCTCAAGCGGTCAGGTGATACACGATGGGGATCACACTATGAATCAATTATTAGATTGATTACAATGTTCCCTTCAGTTATTGATATTCTAGAAGTGGTTGTTGAAGATGGTATCAGTTCTGAACAGAAACGTGAAGCTTTTGCATTATTAGGAACAATGCAATCATTTGAATTTTCATTCTGTTAACTATTGATGAAGGATATACTTGGTATAACTACTAAGTTATCACAAGCTTTGCAAAGAAAAGAACAGGATATTGTAAATGCCATGTCTTTGGTTCGAATATGTAAAAATAGGCTTCAACTTATGAGAGATAACAAATGAGAAGAGTTCATCACCAAGCTAACTTCTTTTTGCGAGCAACACAAAATATATATTCCTGACATGAATGATAGATGGGTTACTCGAGGACGGCCTCGTCGTAGAGCTCAAGATATGACAAATTTACATCACTTTAGAGTTGAAATTTTCTACACAGTTATTGATATGCAACTTCAAGAGTTAAATAATCATTTCACAGAGACGAATACTGAGTTGCTTTTATCTATTGCTTGTTTGAACCCATCTAATTCTTTTTGTGCATTTAGTAAAGATAGATTAATTCGAATGTCACATCTTTATCCATGTGATTTTACTCCTGTTAAATTGGAAATTCTAGACAATCAGTTGGAAATTTATATCATGGATATGCAGTCAGATTCACATTTCTCATTGTTAAAAGATCTTGGACATCTTGCTGAGACAATGATATAGAACAAGAAAGATGTTTTATATCCTCTTGTTTTCAGGCTATTAAAACAAGCTTTAGTTTTGTCGGTTGCAACAGCAGGAGTAGAAAGAGTATTTTCTGCAATGGCTATCATTAAAACTCGACTACGAAATATGATTGGAGATCAGTGGATGAATGATACTTTACTCGCATATATTGAGAAGGAAATATTAGATTGTATTGAAAATGATGTAATTGTCAATCTTTTTCAAAATATGAAGAGCAGACGCTATAAATTATAAGTATTTTGCATCTTATATTTAATATTCGATCTTTTTAAAAAAAATTTTAAAACTACCTATGTCGGTCCCAAGCCCGGATGCAAAAAAGTTGACGGAAATTTTTTTTAAAGAATTTGTGCCCTCTCAAGGAAATTTTTCTGGCTCCGCCACTGGTACTTACATTTATTTATTCATTAATGAAAGAGAAGAGCATGCACTAGAATTATGGGCTAGAATTTTGTTAAATTGGATGAGTTTTATTTCTCTTTGTACATTTTCTCGTAGAAAAGAAGCAGATTAAGATGTTGCAAAACTTGCAATTGAGATTGTATCAGAAAAATTGAAGAATGAGGATTCCCGTAATATTCATAAGATTTTTTTTCTCATCATTGCATTTTTTTATTTTATTTTTGTAATTTTTGTTAGCATAAACAATAATATTTGTATATTAATGCAGCTTTGATTTTTAAATTATTTGTATTCTACTATTCACAACTATAAAAAAAATAAAAATACTACACACTACTATAAATGTCGCACGAGAAAAATTCATATGAATTGATACTAACTAATTCATTGATATGCAAGGAATAAGGCACATGAAATTTCTCATTATGTAGATTTTTTCTTATTTCCCTAAACGTTTAGTTTAGGATATTATAAAATTGCTTAACATTATCTTTTACTTAACACGATCCAACACTTTGCAAATTAATTGATCATTAATGATTATGAAGCTAAGATGAAAAAAGATATGCACATATATACCACCACTCAACAAAATAGACTTCTTCAAATATTTATTACAACTATTACTTTCGATGGAAAAACTTATGTTGGAATGTTGGATTTGTTGGAAGGAGTAAAAAGGTGGCAGAACGAAATGCAACATGTGTTGTTATTGAATCTGTATTAGATATTACTCTTTTATCTGCATGCATGAATTGATCTTTTTTTAAAAATACTAAAAAATATGTTAATATTTTTTCATATCAAGTCATGTTAGAAATATACAGGATATTTTTTGCAGCAAATTTAAACACAATATCTATAATGGCCTAAATTATCAAGAAAAAATATTTGTCATTTACAAATTTGACATATTAAAACTTACCCTTGAGATTATATCAAAAAATTTAAAGAATTAGGGTCCCGTAATATTTAGAAAATTTTTTTTTTACATATCATTGTATTTTTTTATTTTGTTTTTAAGAATTTTTTTAACATCGACAATAATATTTGTATATTCATCCAGCTTTAATTTTTAAATTATTTATATTCTACAACTCACTACTATAAATGTTGTAGAAGAAACATCCATATGAATTGATACTAATTAATTTATTGATGTGTGAGGAATAAGACAAAAGTTTTCTTATGATGTATATTTTTTTTTTCCCAAAACTTCTGGTTTATGATATAATAAAATTGCTTAACATTACCTTCTACTTGACATGATCCAATTACACTTTCTAATTTGATCATTAATGAGTATGGAGCTATGACGAAGAAAAATATGTCAACATATATCACCACTCAACAAGATAGACTTCATCCAATATTTATTACGACTATTAATTTCAATGAAAAAACTTAAGTTAGATTTGCTGAAAGGACCAAAAAAGGATGAAGTATGAAATACAACATGTGTTGTTATTGAATTTGTTTTAGGTTTGATTCTTTTATTTGTATGCATGAATTGGTCTTTTTTTAAAAGTATTGATAATATGTTAATGTTTTGTTATATCAAGCGCTATTGAAAATATTCAATATATTTTTTATAGCAAATTCAAACACAATTTTATAATGGCCCAAATTATGAAGAAATATACTTTTACATTCACAAACTTGACAAATCAAAACATGCACATGAGATTATATAAAAAAGTAAAAAAAAAAAGAGTTCTTGTAATATTCAAAAGAATTTTTTACTTATCCTAGCATTTTTTATTTTATTTTTGAGAATTTTTTTAACATAGATAATAATATTTTTATATTCATGCAGGTTTAATTTTTAAATTATTTATATTTTACTACTACTATAAATGCCGTAGGAGAAAAATTCATATGAATTGATACTAACTAATTCATTGATATGCGAGGAATAAGGCACATGAAATTTCTCATTATGTATATTTTTTCATGTTTCCCAAAATTTTTAGTTTAGGATATTATAAAATTGCTTAACATTGTCTTTACTTAATAGGATCCAACACTTTGCAAATTAATCATGAATGATTATGAAGCTAAGATGAAGAAAGATATGCACACAAATACCACCACTCAATAAAATCGACTTCTTCAAATATTTATTACAACTTTTATTTTCGATGGAAAAACTTATGTTGGAATGTTGGATTTGTTGGAAGGAGTAAAAATGTGGCAGAACGAAATGCAACATATGTTGTTATTGAATCTGTTTTAAATATTACACTTTTATCTGCATGCTTGAATTGATCTTTTTTTAAAAATACTAAAAAATATGTTAACATTTTTTTCATATCAAGTCCTGTTAGAAATATACAGGATATTTTTTGCAGCAAATTTAAACACAATCTCTATAATGGACTAAATTATCAAAAAAAAAGTTTGTCATTCACAAATTTGACATATTAAAACTTACCCTTGAGATTATATCAAAAAATTTAAAGAATGAGGGTCCCGTAATATTCAGAAGATTTTTTTTTTACATATAATTGTATTTTTTATTTTGTTTTTAAGAATTTTCTTAACATCAACAATAATATTTGTATATTCATACAGCTTTAATTTTTAAATTATTTATATTCTACAACTTACTACTATAAATGTTGTAGAAGAAACATCCATATGAATTGATACTAATTAATTTATTGATATGTGAGGAATAAGACAAAAATTTTCTTATGATGTATATTTTTTTTCCCCAGAACTTCTGGTTTATGATATAATAAAATTGCTTAACATTACCTTCTACTTGACATGATCCAACACTTTCTAAATTGATCATTTATGAGTATGGAGCTATGATGAAGAAAAATATATCAACATATATCATCACTCAACAAGATGGACTTCATCTAATATTTATTACGACTATTAATTTCAATGAAAAAATTTATGTTAGATTTGATGGAAGGACCAAAAAAAGAGGAAGAACGAAATACAACATGTGTTGTTATTGAATTTATTTTAGGTTTGATTCTTTTATCTCTATGCATGATTTGATCTTTTTTTTTAGTATTGACAATATATATGTTAATGTTTTGTTATATCAAGCGCTATTGAAAATATTCGATATATTTTTTATAGCAAATTCAAACACAATTTTATAATGGCCCAAATTATGAAGAAATATACTTTTACATTCACAAACTTGATAAATCAAAACTTGCACATGAGATTATATCAAAAAGTAAAAAAAAAAGAGTTCGTGTAATATTCAAAAGTATTTTTTTCTTATCATAGCATTTTTTATTTTATTTTTGAGAATTTTTTTAACATAGATAATAATATTTTTATATTCAAGCAAGTTTAATTTTTAAATTATTTATATTTTACTACTACTATAAATATTATAGGAGAAAAAGTCATATGAATTGATACTAACTAATTCATTGATATGCAAAGAATAAGGCACATGAAATTTCTCATTATGTATATTTTTTCTTGTTTCCCAACACTTTTAGTTTAAGATATTATAAAATTGCTTAATATTGTCTTTACTTAACAGGATCCAACACTTTGCAAATTAATCATTAATGATTATGAAGGTAAGATGAAGAAAGATATGCACACAAATACCTCCACTCAACAAAATAGATTTCTTCAAATATTTATTATGACTATTACTTTCAATGGAAAAACTTATGTTGGATTTGTTGGAAAGAGTAAAAAGATGGCATAACGAAATGCAACATGTGTTGTTATTGAATCTGTTTTAGATATTACTCTTTTATCTACATGCACGAATTGATCTTTTTTAAAAATACTAAAAAATATGTTCACTTTTTTTCATATCAAGTCCTGTTAGAAATATTCAGGATATTTTTTGCAGAAAATTTAAGCACAATCTCTGTAATGGCCTAAATTATCAAGAAAAAAAAATGTTTGTCATTCACAAATTTGACATATTAAAACTTACACTTGCGATTATATCAAAAATTTTAAAAAATGAGGGTCCCGTAATATTCAGAAGATTTTTTTTTACATATCATTA